ATGGGGAGAGGCTGTTAGTTTTGGGGGCATGGGAGAGGGGATGTTGGGGGGCATGAGGAAGAGGCTGTTAGTTTTGGGGGGTGATGTAGGGGGCTGGCTCTCTATGGGGTGATCAGGCTGGGAACAGGCCTGGGGGTTGGATGGGGAGGGTGGTAGGTTTGGGGGAATGGGGTGGGGGCTGTTAGTCAGGGTGTGGGGTGCCATGGGGCCGGTGCTGGGGGGGGTCGATGTTAGGGGGGTTTCTTCTAATAGGGCAAAGGGTCTGATCCCTTGGCGAGGGACTGGTACCCGGGGGGGGCAGGGAGTTGGAGGGCCGCTGGGGGGCAGGGGCCTGGAGGGGCGAGGGGAAAGGCTGGGCCCCCGCCCCCCACTCGCTGCCTGTGCCCCTCACCCTGCTGTCGGGGCGGCTCTCGTTCCAGGACAGCTCCGGCCTAAAGCTGTGGAAGCGACGCTGGTTTGTGCTGGCCGATTACTGCCTCTTCTACTACCGAGGTACCAGCCCCCCAACCCGCCCGGCCGGGGGCGCCGTGGGGAGCGGGGGGGGGAGCTCCCGGCTGCCCCAGCCCTGCCCCAGCAGGGGGCGCTGTGGGGAGTGGGCCAGGGAGCGACAGCCCATTAATCCCCCCTTCCTTTTGGGGTCCCCCAGACAGCAGGGAGGAGGCGGTTTTGGGGAGCATCCCGCTCCCCAGCTACGAGATCCGGCCGCTGCCTGGGGAGGGGAAGAGCCGAAGATTCACATTCAAGGTCAGTCCGGGGGGAGTCGGTCTGGTCAGAGCGCCCCCCCCAGGTACCCCATTCGGGGTCCCCCACTTGGAGACACCCGGACGCCTGGGTTCTATTCCCCAGCTCTGGGAGGGGAGTGGGGGGCTGGTGGTTAGAATGGGAGGGGGCTGGGAGGCAGGACTCCTGGGTTCTCTCCCTGGCTCTGGGAGGGGAGTGGGGGCTAGGGGGTTAGAGCGGGGGAGGGGGGCTCTCTGGAGCCGACGGTCAGGGCCCCTCCCCACTAACTAGCACCCCCCCCCATCTGTGCCCCAGGCCGAGCACCGGGGGATGCGGACGTACCACTTCAGCGCGGACACCCAGGAGGACATGAACGGCTGGATCCGAGCCATGAGCCAGTCCGCTGCGGCCGAGAGTGATCCCAGCACCATGTAGGGGTGGGGGGGTCTAGTGGTTAGAGTGGTGGGGGTGGGAGCCAGGACTCCTGGGTTCTCTCCCAGCTCTGGGGAGGGGAGTGGGGTCTAGTGGTTAGAGCTGAGGGGGGCTGGGAGCCAGGACTCCTGGGTTCTCTCCAGCTCTGGGGAGGGGAGTGGGGTCTAGTGGTTAAAACATGGGGGCAGGGGGGCTGGGAGCCAGGACTCCTGGGTTGTGGCATAACTATTCTCTGTCTCTCACCCCATAGCAGCAGCCGACCCCCCCAGCTGCTCAGCCGGCCGGTGCCCCCCCAGGCCCGTCTCTTCGAGGACGTCCGGCCACTCACGCCCGACCTGGGTCCCGCCAAAAGCGCCGAGTCCTTGGAAATCGCCCGGCTCTCGGGCCCCCACTCGTCTGCAGAGAGTCTGTCTGCGACGGGCCGGGGGGCACAGGGCGAGGGGGGGCTCCTGCCCAGCGGCCCTGCCCCACCCCCCAGCCCGGTCAATGGGGAAGGGCTCGGGGGGGAGCTGCAGGGCCTAAGGTAAGAGCCTTTCGCCCTGGCCTCCTCCAGAAGGGGGCGCTGTGTGTGTGGGGGCAGGGGTACCTCACCGCCCGATTAACCCTTTCATCTCTGCTCCTCTTTCCCCAGCTCTCTCTCGTCCCGCATTCTGCGGGGTCAGGAGCCCTCGGCAGCCAAACGCCCCCCTCCCGGCCCCCCCAGACCCTCCCCACCCCCCCCTGAGTCTGAACAGCCCCCCCTGGAGCCCCCCTCCCCCTGGGAGCCCTCTGCAGCTGCCCAGTCCCACGTCCGCTCCTCCCGTTCCTACTCCCTTCCCCCCACCCCCGCTGAGCTCAGGGGGGCGCGGGGGGGCCAGGGGGGTGCAGGGGCGTCCTCCGGGAGGGTTCGAGCCCCTGAGCTGGCTGCGTCCTGCGAAGATCTCCCCCTGCTGGTCCAGGCCGGGTCCAGCCTGGCCCGGCCCCACACCCCCGTGGGGAGGGTGGATATCGCCCCCGGGGGGGCCGTGCGGGGCAGCAGGCCCATCCCTGGGCGCCCCCAGACCCCCGCCGACTGCTACGACGTGCGGCCCTCCGAGGAGCCCTGTGCCCGGCCCCCCGGGCGCTACCCCCGCAGCCCTCACCCCAGCCACTGCCTGGCGCGGCCCGGGACCCCGGCGGAGGAGAGCCCCCCACAGACGGCCACGCTGGGACCTGCCCTGGGGAGACAGCCCCGGAGCCGGGTAGGCTGTGGGGGGGGCGCTGGGCTGTGGGGAGCGGGGTGGGGGGGGTCAGCAGGGGGCGCTGGGCTGTGGGGAGCGGGGCGGGTGGTCAGCAGGGGGCGCTGGGCTGTGGGGAGCGGAGTGGGGACTCGGCAGGGGGGTGTGCTTCGGGGTGGGGGGTCGGCGCTGTCTGACCCCTGTCTTCTCTCCCCCCTGCAGTTCACAGACCGTGTGTACCCCTCCCTGGGGGCTGCCCCACCCCGCGCCCGTCTCCACAGCCGATTGGTGAGTGACCCTCCTCCCGCACCCCCGTTCTCCTGCCCCCCCATGTCCTCCCACCGCTGACCCTGTCCTCGCCCCTTTCTCCCTAGATCTCCCCACATTCGGCCTCCTCCGGCTACCTCCACCTGCCCCCACTGCCCCCGCTCGCCAGCCGCCCCCCAGGGAAGAGGACCTCACTGGGAGCTCCGGTATGTACCCCCCGCCAAGTCCGTGCCTCAGTTTCCCCCTCCATCCTCTGATCAGCCCCTTGCAGGGGCGCCCTGTGGCTAGGCCGACAGGATTCTGGCATGGGAGTGGGGAGGGGAACATGGGGGGAGGGCCGGACTCCTGGGTTCTCCGCTCCTCACCCTCTTGTTCTTTTTTCTTCCCCAGCCCTGGACCGTGGCCCCTCTGTCCCGGGACAGGACCCTGTTGGCACTGCCCAGGGCTGAAAGTGACACCGATGTGAGTGTGTGTGTCTGTGTCCTCTGCCCCCCATGCACAGTGTCCCCCACATGCCCCGGACACCCCAAAATCCCCCCTGGATCAGACCCACAGGCCCATCTACCCTGGTATCCCGCCTCCTCCCTGGTTTTTACAGCTGAGCATTTTGGGGTATTTGGCCAGGCCTTTGGCACACGAGACGCTCCCCAGGGTCACTTCCTGCCCGAGACGCCCCAAACCTGAACCCCATGTCCGCAACCCCCCCACACTCACACTAACCACGGCGCCACCTGGAGGCCGCAGCTGAAACAACCAGGTTTTCTCACACACACACACACACACCCCCCCCGGGTGTCTTTTTCTTTTTCCTCCCACCCTAGATTCTCCTGACTAAACTCTGCGGCCAGGACAAGCTGCTTCGGGGGCTGGAGGAGGAGACGGGGCAGCTGCGGGCTGAGAAGGTGATTTCACCCCCCCCACACACACACCAGCCTGGGCCAGGAGTCCCCGTATACCCAGCCCCCGCGCCCCACCCCAGAGCCAGCCGCATCCCAGCACCGGGCGAGGGGTCCCCCGATACCCAGCCCCCACACCCCGTGCCCCACCCCAAAGCCAGCCGCATCCCAGCACCGGGCGAGGGGTCCCCCGATACCCAGCCCCCGTGCCCCACCCCAGAGCCAGCCGCATCCCAGCACCAGGCAAGGGGTCCCCAGATACCCAGCCCCCGGGCCCCACCCCAGAGCCAGCCGCATCGCAGTGCCGGCTGAGGGGTCCCCATATACCCAGCCCCCGCGCCCCACCGGTCAGGCTTGGCAATTGCTTCCACCAGGTGGCGCTGGGTGAAAACAGAGGCTGCCCCAGAGTGGCGGTGGTAGTGGGGGCAATGGGGCATTAACCCCTTAAGTGCTGGGCTGTTGGTAAGGGGGCCCCAGAGGATTTCCCCCATGCCCTCCAAGATAGGGTGGGAGGGCAGGAACTTCCCCACCCCTCTGGCCCCGCCCCACCCCATCCAAGGGGTAACCGGGTTGGACCCCGCAGGAGAGGCTGGAGAAGGCCCTGGAGCTGGTCCGGCACCAGCTGGATGGATGCCAAGGCCCGGAGCTGGCGGAGGAGAAAATCTGGTACCAGCAGAGGCGGCTGCAGGACGAGCTGGTGCAAGTCAGAGCCCGGCTTTGCGACCTGGCGCTGGTGAGTGTGAGCGGCCCCGAACCCCACCCCAGAGGGGCCGCACCTCGGTGCCAGGTCCCCGTACACCCAGCCCCCCGCCCCACCCCAGAGGGGCCGCACCTCGGCGCCGGGTCCCCGTATAGCCAGCCCCCCGCCCACCCCAGAGGGGCCGCACCTCGGCCCCGGGTCCCCGTACACCCAGCCCCCCGCCCCACCCCAGAGGGGCCGCACCTCGGCCCCGGGTCCCCGTATACCCAGCCCCCGCCCCACCCCAGAGGGGCCGCACCTCGGCCCGGGTCCCCGTATACCCAGCCCCCGCCCCACCCCA